CTGCATATCCAAGAATTTAGATTAAAAAGACCACATTTTTTTGGAAATTTATTGCTTTTTCCTAGAGTTCGTATTAAGTTTGAATTAATTTTATGGTTTTGGCTAAAGCATGAAAAATATTTTTATAAAATATAACAAAAACATTTACTCGAAAAACGTTGTAAATAATTAAAATAAAATCACCATGCCCTCAGTTTTGATCGCCGGTGTAACTTTGTTTTGTTCAAATGATATTGAATTTTTATTTTCGAACGGTTTTATTCTTCCATAAGCGAATTAATAAATTTTTTGTTGAATGCATTTAGTTTATTTCTTCCCCGAAAAATACCCCTTTTCTTTCTCGGTTGTACCCCAAGTCCCCCAATTTGTTCTTATCTGTACCTCTTTTGGCATTTTAGGCCGAGTAGGATAACCCTACTTACTTATATATTTCCAAATCTAAAGTAGGATTTCGAAAGTAAGCGTTAATTTTTTTCTATCATCAAAAAGTTGCTATTTCGTGCGACCATTTTTAAGAGATTTTAAAAATGAAATATGTATTTCCATGACTGTCTTAAATAACTTATCGAAAGTGTTATGTCCGCGAACGATTTCTTATATTATCGATATAAATTTTGAATAAATTTTTCCTTTTTACTCCCAGACGGCAGCAGTGGTCCGGTTCGATTGTGAATCTGTCCTTGAAACTGTATAATATGTATAGTTGGTGGGAATTTCATAAAGGGTGAGTATTAGCATGGGCCGAAAATCCGCGTTTTTACAATTTTTATTGGGAATAGGAAAAATAATGCTCTAAAAACAATCTGTGTGAAAGATGAAAATTTTTTGTCTATATCTTAGGCTCGTCCAAGTCCACCAAAGTTCAAGTGCTAAAAAATTGTATCTGAGCTTAATTCGATTCTCTACAAAAAAGGTCCATATATCAAATTATGTAGGACTAATACTTTCGAAGATACTTGCAATTTTTGTGAAAAAAATGTATTAATTATTGTATTTATTAATTTTTATTTTTTGATCACACTGAACTTTGATGGACTTGGGCGGGCCTAAGATATTGACCGCAAATTGTCATCTTTCACACAGATTGTTTTCAGAGCAAAATGAACCGTACTTTTGCTATTACCAATCAAAATTCTAAAAAAGCGGATTTTCGGGCCCCGCTAGTGAGTATCGTAGTTCTGTGGTTGATTTTACGGTGGTAATTTGAGATTGACCCCTGCACAACTCAATCCTGGTATCTCCGAATGAATCTTTAGCGCATGGTAATATTGGAATATCGCATCCAGTGGGCCAGTCGGAATACACAGTACAGTGGTCCAGCACGTCGATGTAATCGGCCATTCACGGTCCATTTTCTCACTTGACGATTTTTAGTAATAATTCGACTCCAGCGCCACCTAGCGACCCTGTTTTGAAATAGTATTGCCCTTACCGTTACCAATACATATCCCGAATATGAGCCAAACCGAATCATAAATACGAATTTTTATCATCTCGACTCCAGAGCCACTTGGTGGGCAAACGACACCAATACATATTTCGAATAAAAACCAGGTTGGATCAAATACACACAAAATTTTTCGCCAAAATCGGTCCAGCCATTTTGGAGGAATTCACTCTTAAGCTTACGTGCAGAAGAATTTTACATAAATGCAAAGATAGGTAAAAGTTTCAGTACGTTTGGAAGGCGACACGTCCAATTTTCTCCATGAGTGTGGGAATGATTTCATATATATCCACACTAAGTTCCAGTACTCTACCATGAACACTTCCAGAGATATGCAGAATGAAAAATTCGGGTTTTGTGGGAGGTTGCACACCTCCTTAATATATCAAAATTTTTTTTTAGCGTATAACCATCCTTGGAAAGTTTCCAGCAGGCGTCCGAAATTTAACTAGTAATTTTTAGAAAAAAAAAAACCGACTTCAACTCCCATATAAAAAAAAGCCCCACGCTTTTCATTTTCAATTTCATAGATTGTTTATAATGACTTTTGGTAAAATTTCAAAATCAAAAGTTATCAAAACAAATTCTATGGGACTGAGAAATATTATTTTCTACTTTTTAGTCCATTTATAAAAGCGTTCTATATTAAAAAGTTTTTTTTATATTATTTATTTTCTCCTTTTTAGTCCTGTATGAATAAAAGTTTGCAATAGATATTAAAATAATTCAACGATATTAATAGAAAGGTGCACACACATGCATTTACATATGTATGTACATACGAACGAGCACCAATTAATTTTATTTAAAGAATTGACGTGTCGTCTATTTCCGGTGTAGCAAACGTAGTACATAGGGCGACATCTAGATGTCATCTACCTCGCCCTATTCACTACAGCCATCGCCCTATGCACTACTTCACTACAGATGTCGCCCTATTCACTATGCTTTTTTATAGGAGTTTTTCAAAGCTTTGCTTTGTGGTGTCGGACACACAACATTGAAAGCTTCTGGATCCACAACATTGCAAGTTGATAAAAGCGTTGTAAAAAGGACAAAGGCAAAGGTAAAAATAAAAACAAAAACAAAGATGCGTAAAGATAAAGCCAAAAATGAAGACCAAGGTAAACACTTTACTTATATAAATATGTAAGGACAAGGTGAGGGGGAATATGTAGACGAAGAAAATGATAAACATAAAAGTAAAAACAGAGATAAATATAAAGAAAAAGATGAGGATACCGGTAAAAGTAAAGATGAAGATAGAGGAAGAAAAATTAAAATAAAGGTAATTATAGAGAAAAGGATATATGTAGATAGTGACACAGGAACTCAATCTGGGAAATATTTTAGGATTTTAGAGATTTTCGGGATTCTCGGGACTTATCGTTATAATAATCAATATTTTTATCGGGTTTGATATCTATTTTTTATCGGTTTTGATATCGATTTTTTTTATCGGGTTTGTCATCGAAATTTTTATCGATATTCTTATCGATATTCTTATCGATTTTTCTAACGATATTTGTTATCGATTTTTTAATCGTCATTTTAAACGATTTTGTCATCGATATTTTGATGGGTTTTGTTATCGATATTGTTATAGATTTTGTTGTCGATTCTTTATCGATTTTGTTATAATTATTTATCGATTTTGTTATCGATTACTTATCGATTTTTTTGTCGATATTTTTATCGATTTTGTTATCGATATTGTTATCGGTTTTGCTATCGATATTTGTCATCGATTTTTTAATCGCTATTTTAAACGATTTTGTCACCGATATTATTATGGGGTTTGTTATCGATATTGTTATAGGTTTTGTTGTCGATAATTTATCGTTTTTGTTATAATTATTTATCTATTTTTTTTTTGATTACTTATCGATTTTGTTGTCGATATTTTTATCGATTTTGTTATCGATATTGTTGTCGAATTTATTACCTATATTTTTTATCGATATTGTTATCGATTTTGTTATCGATTTGTTATCGATTATTTATCGATTTTGTTGTCAATTATTTATCGATTTTTTGATCGATTACTTATAGATTTTGTTATCGTTTTTTTTATCGATTATTTATCGCATTTGTTATCGGCATTTTTATCGATTTTCTTATCGATTTTTGCTATCGATTTTGTTATCGATATTGTTATCGATTATTTATCGATTTTGTTATCAATTATTTATAGATTTTGTTATCAATTATTTATCGATTTTGTAATCGATTATTTATAGATTTTGTTATGGACTTTGTTATCGATTATTTATCGGTTTTGTTATCGATATTTTTATCGATTTTGTTATCGGTATTTTTATAGATTTTCTAATCGATTTTTGATCACGATTTTGTTATCGATTATTTATCAAATTGGCTATAGATATTTTTATAAATTTTCTAATAGATTTTGCTATCAATACTATTATAGATTTTGCTATCGCAATTGTTATCGAATTTGTCATCGATGTGGTTATCGATATTTGTATCGGTTTTGTTAACGATATTTTGTTGGATGTTACTCTCGATTTTGCTATCGATAGAGTATAAAGATAAAAATGAAGATAAAGGAAAACAGAATAACATACAAATGTAGTTAGAACGAACAGGGTAGAGGTAGGGATCTAGATAGAAAAAAGACAAAAAATAAATATAATCTTAAGCGAAGGCAGATGTATGTAGTACGTACATATGTATATAGGTTATGAGATAAACTAGATATGTAACGTAAGTTTAACTTCTCCAGTGTGGCCCAGACGCACTTACCTTTTATGTTTTACCTTCTAACACCTTCTCTAATAAAAGCCAATATCAAATTGTTTTATTGAATGGGAGGCATATCATTAGTCTACTACAAAAAAAAAAAAAACTTTTATTAAAACATAATTGAAATTTTTGATTGTTTGCTAACCTGAACCCGTATCGATTTAGTATTAAAGTTTTAACTCTGTACAACTCCGTGTAATAGTCAGAACTAAAAATATAAGCAGTATTGCAGCCACACTTTGTTTTCGATTCCATAAGTGGTATCGCATTTCACTGTTATTATTGTTTTTATTGGTACAAATGTTACGGTTACCATGTTTCAATTTTGGACCTTTTGGTTTAAATGTTACCGGCCAAACCCGATCTTAGGAAAAACTAGTTTTGCCTAGGCTAAACTAGAACAGGGGCGACAGTATTTTGGCGCAGAACACCTTTCCGCGTAGGCGGCCTTCGGCCACACTTCAACAAATAACCCTCATCAGTCCAATTCCAGGTACGCAGTCTACAATATTGTTGCGTTCAACGTGTTTCCGCATTGGACGGATATATTAGATCTAGGTAGAACTAGTTTAGCCTAGGAAAAACTAGTTTGTCCTAAGATCGCGTTTGGCCGGCAACATATACAAGGTATTGCATATTGCGTATACACGATGATGTGCTATGCATATTTAGGTATTTCCAGGATCCAGTTAAAATTTTTAAAAATATCGTGTTAAAACTCATTAATTTTTGAGTATTTATTTTATGTTTTATTTGTTACAAATAAAAAATTACAAAAATGCTACAACGTAAATCATCTTCTTCGCTTACATACAAACGTTCATATAAATAGTTTTTTTACAAGAATGGTGGACAACATTTTAGATCGAACGTAGTGTGTATTATGTGTTAATTAACTTGCAACTAAGTAAATATTTGAATCGATAATTATCATATGCACATAAAGGTTTGCAACAGTATTGGATACTTAAAGCTTGCACACAATTTATATTGTACAACAACCAATAAAACAAATTACATTAAAAACAATACAGACTTATAAGCTAATTTGATGGACAGTAGCGTTTTATAGTAGTTTCAGTTAAAAAATATGTATGTGTTAAAAGCATTGGCGATTAAATGAAAGACAGGCAGTTTGGAAAACAGAAGGAGGACATGAAGAGTCTATGATGGTTAGCGTATCTAAACTTAACGCCATCCCTTTAATGACGCTGGGAGAGTTGTACTGTGCTATGAAATGCTGGCTACGTGCATTTCGTTCTTTCAGTAGTGGCCACCATAATGACCTCCATGGTGTCCACCGTAGTTTCCTTCGTAGTGGCCATTGTAACCGGCGCCGCCGCCATAGTGACCACTGTATTGCGGCACATATTCATACTGAGCACCGTGACCGTAATCATCGTAATCGTAATGGATGGGTGCAGGGACGTATGGTTTGGGAACTGAAAGTAAACAAAAGAAGTAAAATTATTTGTAGTAAGTTTGAGAAAATGTTTGATGTTTGCTACTCCTAGTTTGGATATGCATTTATAAATCATGATTCAATAATTAAAGGTTTGCTCACTAGTGACATGCGAGTTTTGAAACTCCCTTAACTCCCTGACAAAAGAGGGATCGAGAAAACTGTTTTCTGAGCAAGTCTTTTATTATTGAATCATGTATGTACATGTGTTTTATTTATATTTATCCTATAAAACTTTGGACTTATTTTATAAAGAAAAAAGTTGCAACCCTTTATGAGCTCAAAAAAAGAGTTAGAACAGAGCATATTTCCCTTCACAGTAGGGCATTCCAATACGAGTCCGAGTTAGTAGCCATATTAGAGTCTGAAATATGACACTTTTCTGAGTTTTAAAAACAAAGAATCTTTATAATTCTGATTACTAATAAACTACTCTATGAACTTTGTTACTTTTGTTCAACTCAGAATTTATGACACCAAAAGAGTCCGAAATGAGTCAGTTTAGTTGACTTGTCCCATAATCGTATTTATAACGAAAGAAATAGTACTCATTTTAGACTCATAAATTCTAAGCACTCAGAAATTGTTTAAAGGGTATGTACATTAGGGTAGTCCAAAAGTGCATGTGAAAAAGTAAAGTCGGAATTTTTATGCTCTCACCCCCTAGGATTGTTCTATATCAAACAAAAATATGTCCTCAAGCTCAATAAAAATTGTTGAATATAATTGTTATAAGGCAATAAAATAACAAAAAAAAATATCTTAAGGACGAGCACACCTAAAAGTTAAACAGTCTTATAATAGAAATATTAACAAAAACCAACAAAACCAACAACCACATGATCAAGTGAATTGCAGCGGAATAGCTGCGCTTGATTGTAGTTGGCTTAACCAGTGAAATAGTGGAAATAAGCAGCAAGAATTAACAAGGCGAACTTAGCACAGTGCGTAGCAGAGATGAGGAAATGTGGTGATTTCCGAAATAGCTATCACTTCTACCATTTTTTCAAATTATTGTTGCTTTTCCACAATAAGTTTTCATTAAAAAACGGCCTCAAGCTCAATAAAAATTGTTGAATATTTTGAAATAAAAAAATATTTAGAGGTTGCTCAAAGCGCCCAAAGTTTTTCATGTATTTTATATGGGGGAAAAACCACTTTTCACAGAAATGGTATAGGATAGTTAAAAATCCATATTTCTTACCCGAAAACTCTGTTTATCTGCAGAAGACTCCCAGTAATAATACCCAATTGTTTATTTAACCATTTTCTCATTGCAACTATAATTTTTAGGTCCGCCAAAAACCCCGAAAAATGCAATGGGGCGACCAAAAATCGTTAGTATTAAAAAACGGTTAAATAAACAATTGGGTATTATTATTGAAAGTCTCCTGAAGATATTTCATTTCTACGACAAAAAAGTTATTTTTCCCATATAAAAATACATGGAAAAGTTTAAGCGCTTTGAGCGACCTCTAAATATTTTTTGATTTCAAAATACAGAAATAGGGGTATACTTTTTTCGATATAGAGATATAGAACAATCTTAGGGGGTGAGAGCATTACAATTCCGTCTTTTCTGTTTTTGGACAACCCTAATGCACATACATAATTACATACATAATTACTAAGTTCAAGTAATTTGTTCATCAACTTTAAACTTTTTGCTGTTTGATGGGCAAATAAATGTGCTATTGAAATGTGCAAATATCGATATTTTTGTTACTTCAAGTTTTACATACATTTCTATGCACACATATACTTTGTGCGAATTTGTCCCACTTTTTTTTAGCTCAGTTTAGTTACACTCGATTTGGCCTATTATTAGTTGAAATTTATTTGCCTATTTTTTGAAATTGCATGTATTTTTTGCTGCCGTAAATGTGCATTACTTTACAAATTTATGGATGATCCGTTTGTCAATTGCTTACATTGCGCAGTCAAAACATCAGTTGCTTCACAAAAACAACAATAATATGTTCGTTCAAACTAAAGCAATGTCATCAATATTAAAAGAAACTCGAAGATAAACAACTTACATGGTAGCTTTCAGTTACCGTAAACAGTTAGTGTGGTAAGAAGCATTTTATTGGTTGTTTTGCTTTTAATATTTTTCTCGTGCGTTTGCAGAGAAAGAGGCAAGTTTTTATTTCTATCAAATTTGACTATAATGGAGATTTTTTTAGCTTCACCGTATGTTGCTACTCACTTTTTGGATTTAGTTAAGTACAGAATAATAGCCATATATGTATGCAGGATGATCCTGATAACGTGTACACTGAGGGAAATAATGCATAGTAAAAATGAATACTTTATATTTGATTATCGTTTAAAAATGTTCGTATTTAAAAATAATATTTTCATACAAAATTTATTACGCACGTATTTGACTGTTCACATCTGAGTATGTATATGTAAGTATACATACGCACCCCAAGCATGCAGAGCGGCGCTCTGAGAGCGGTGGTAACACACACCTACATACATAGTACAAATCGCGTGCTGTGGTGTTGATGGATATTCAACATTTGAAAGCAAATTTATATGGCTGGGTGTAGCTGAGTGCGCAAAGATGCTTGCCACAAGTTGTTGATATCCGGAGATGGTCGGGTTCGAATTCCACTACAGGCAAAATGCAAATAAATTTTTTTTTTAGTTTTTGTCTTGATTATTCACTTCACGGATGCTTTTTCAGTACGAACGCGGTCATTTTAATATGCGCGTAATTGAATTGAATATTTACCAATATACAGTACTTTCGTTGACGTTTATAGTAAGATCAATTACGTTTTTACTTGATTTTAATATTTTTTTCCCTCAGTGTAGTTTTGAAATTAAGCCTTTCCAAAACCATTTCATTGATATCCGTATTGTAGTAGTTCATTTAATTTAATTGCATTTAATTATTTATCAGGTGGCAACGTAGAGGATTTCGATGTCAATCTATAAGGTGCATCTTTATTTATATAGTGCATATGTATAAGGTTTAATCGAATTTAATTATTCGAGCTATTCAACTATTTTGGAAAGTGATCTTTCTTTGATTTATTTTACCTAATCAATAAATGGATTTAAGTTTTAAAACAGGGCGCATCCCTCCCAAAAATTATAATTTTTAATTGAGTTTCCTAAGCCCTTTTTTATTTGTCACCCGTATGGCGATATCTGATTAATCCTATTAATTTAATTTAATGAAATTTAAATTAAGTTTTTAATAGGTGTAAACTGGCTTTGAACCTAGCTATTAACCTTGTTTCTTTTTACTAACGGACCACGATAGCATAGAGTCTATCGGTTTCAAACTTTAAGCAGGGCTACAAACACCGGGATCTATTTACTGTCCGTGGTTTTTCATCATCTTTATCTTATCGTCGTAGGGGACTCGCTTTTTATAATAAGTGTCAATTATATATATATTTTCCATCAGTTAACAAACTTTACGGTGTAGTTAGAAATCCTTTAAAATCATTTCAATATTTTACGTAGAAATATTTGCACCATGAAATTGGAGCCGCCATTACATATGTATGTATATATGTACATTAAGGTGGCCCTACATCGCACACGAACAGCTCAATGGATGTGTTTAATTTTTTTGTGCATTCTATTCGATATTTTCTGTAGGCTTGTGATACAAAATTTAAAAAAATAGGGTTGCCAGATATTTGGAAATTTAAAGGTCAATAAAATATTTAAGTTTCTTCATCAATACTAAAAGCGTTTGAAGAATCTAAAAATATTTTTGAACGGGGTTACCACTTTTCGATAAAAATAGAACAATGTTTATTAAAAATGTAAGCCTATTTGATACCACAATATGGGTATCATACGAAAGGTGTTTGTACACATAGGCTTTGAACTAACATGTTTTTAAATAGGGTTGCCAACAATCTGTTAACTAAGATGAGGTAATTATGAAAGTTAAGTGAAATGCTGCAATATGCATTTTGCACATTCGGTAGTTTGGCATGGTGCTAACTCTATCTAGAAATAAGTAGGGGTTAAAGCTTTATTTTAATACGTTTTGTTTGAAACTTATAGTTTACTTAAACGCATGTAGCATGATTTAAAATTTTTTTATTATAGATAAATGGCAACCCTATCCAAAAATATATGTGAATTAGAGTATGTATTTTCAAAAACCTTTGCTAGGAGTGTATAAACCTTCCATTTTATACCCATAATATGGTATTAAATAAGCTTAAATTTTTAATAACCGTTGTTTTATTTTTTAGAAAGGTGACAACCCCGTATAAATATTTTATACGGTAGGTATTTTTGGGTGACCCTAATGTACATACATGTACAATGCATATACATTTAATACATTCTTACTATAAAAAATTTAGCTGCTTTTATATATTTAGGTTTGTATTAAGAAATTTTACAAAGCAGCTTTTTAGTGCAGTATTTTATAATACAACAAATAGTGTACTCATTTGTAAATCGAAAGACTTAAGCGACGAACTTTTCAATACAAATATGTAACTGCATCTGTTAGGCTAATACGCAAGCAAACATTCAACGCCAACATTATACGATTTAGTGAATGAGACTATTCCTACAGTCATAGCTACTTATTGCTATGCATGTGCAAGCTTATTTACAACAATAATAAAAAATGTACTATTAATTACATGCTTTCATGATGTGTTGGCCTACATAAGAGTTCATAAGCATATGCATGCAAAATATAAAAATTCCCATGCTACGGGGTGTAAAACCAGAAAATGGACCCAAAATTTCGTAGCGTATGGGGGAGTAAGTTTCAAAGATTGTAAAATGTAGCAGCAAATGACAACAATACTACAATAATGTTGAGCAAAAGTTACACAGCACCAACAAGAAATACAATAGCAAAAATGAAAATATGCCCTCATTTTGAATACAACACATCTGCTACAAAGAAAAGCAGCCATGTGTGCGGCGACAAGGCAACTTGAGATGAAATGTGGAAAACAATACTCCCATTTTTTAATC